GGTTAAGAGGCTGAGCTCGTAGATGATGATAAATAACAGTTATGTATAATATATTACATTTCTGACCGTATATCCCTGTAATTATTACACACTGTAGCTTTAAGGTTGTAGAACCTGCAACTATTCAGACCATTTGCATGATTCTTTCATGACCATGGTTGAAGGCCGGTACTCGTTTCTAATGTTTGAAAAGTTCCCCTTTGACTCCTCAGACACATTTCTTTTCATAATAGGTCAACATTTCCATTATCTGATCATAAGATTAGCTTTAGCTTAGAAAAGCTGCTAATTTGAATAAAATTTTAAGTAGATGTGAAAACAGACCATGATGCTCTGATGATGAAGCTGGTATTCCATAACTTCCAGTTGATTTGTTTTGACTTGTACAGGTAAACCTGTTTTCTCTCTGAGGCTGACATTTTAGGTAGTTAAAATCTTGACAAAGATCTTAAAATCTAGAATTGTTTAGAAATTTATCCAAAAGACTTACCAATATTTTTTCATTTACAGTTCATGCTATTTTATCTTTTTTTAGGTTTAAGAGTTAAAGTTAATTCCAATGAAAAGAGGATCCTAATTGTTACTAGCTATAGTAGATTATGGTCTTAAAAATAACTTTAGTATCTTGGAAAGATCAAATGCTTTCTAGAACCTTCAACATCTACTATTAGAAGATTTTGGTGCATAGATATATAACATTGACCGTTTTTGGATTAGATTAAATTCACAATAAGGTTTGAATTGTAAAGTTGCTTCCTTTTTAAAGAAAAGAAGATATATATACCCTTTCACATAGATGTCACTCATGTTCTCTCCTGTGATGCTGGTTTCATCTAGAGTTACATCCGTGGTGTTCCAGATGACGACTCGCAGGAAATGCCTAAACAAGCAGACAGGTCAGTTTTATCCATCTGCATCCCCTGGAAAAATCCTTTTTACATACCTCTTAGGTTTGCGGGGCGTGATGTCGAAGGGAGGACCAGGCTGTCCCATGCTTTTTGGGAAGACATCCACCCACATCTGTAGCCGACCCTTTAAATCAACAAATTAAGTAATGGGTTAAAACGTGTAACTTCAGGGCAATGGGTGGCTGGGGGTATGTTCAGTTATTTGACCAAATATCCATACCCATAAAATCTTTTAAATTTGTCATGTTATATGAAATACAGTGAACCACTCAGAAGGAAGTGGATTCAAAGTGAAAGGAGAATGTTTTTTTTTTTTTTTTAAAGGCAACGTGATAGACATTTGTATTTATTGCCCCCAGCTTTTCTGTCTCTGCTGTAGAAATACACCCCCTAGCATAATGCTGCTACCACCATGTTCCAGTCAAGGTTAAGTGTGAACAGTAAGTTTTTCTTCATACGTTCTGTTCGCAGATCAAAGGGTTCTTCAGGGGTTGCCCTTCGGGCACGTGACTTTCACATTTCATTTGCCCAGAAACTATTTTTACTTGCCCAGTATAATGTTTGATAAATGTAGTTCCTAATATTCATTTTTATATATATATCAATGAAACATGTTTGTTTTTTAAATGTTTTTTTTATAATTCAGTAAGTTTCCAGGTTCCTGGTGTGTATCTGCATGCGTCAGATAATGAACTCAAGCCTACATTACCGTGTTAACATGCATTTCCTTCCTGCACATTCTTTGCTTTAAACTGTTGTGTGCATGGAAAAATATAAATTGTAATGTTAAAAATCTAAAAAATTCATCCAGCTGCTGCTTTGCAGAATTCTCCCCCCAAGGAGAGAAAAATCAAGCCATCTAGCGGAAAATCATGCGAAAATGTGTACAAAACAACAAAAATGGCGCCGGCAACGCTTGTGGGGCGTTTTCATCGAATGTCGGTGATTTTAAATTAATTTTGAGTGATAAATAAAAAAAATTTGCAATCATTGCACTTGCCCGGCGGGCAAATGCAATGAAATTTGTACTCTCCCGACAATAAAAACTACTTGCCCCGGGCGATGGTTAACATCAAGCCCTGTTCTTAATATTTGTGTCGTCTGAACAAAACACCCATTTCCATGTTTGCTGCCTTTTCCACATGGCTTATTTTAAAATACAAATCTGACCTCTGGTCAGGCTAATCAAGACATTGTCCCATCTGAGCTGTGCATATCTATAGCTCACCCACATTTGCCACATGGCTCTTAGCTGCTTTAGTGGATGGTGGATCAAACAGAGTTCGGTATATCGCCCTATAAAACAATCTTTTTCCCAGATTCTTTCTGTCCTGATCCTTTTGTCCGGCCATTTCTTCATTGATACTCTGTAACAGTCCTTTAAGGCCCTCATGGAACAGCTGGATTTATATTGAGATATTCTGACACACAGGTGTATTTGGCTCAGTGAATTGTTGCACTGTTACTGGGCACAGATTTTAAGTAATAAATGGCTTTGAAATCTTGATCCCATTGGATTGATTGATGAATAATGACTTACCTGAGACAGATTAGGCTGGAAGGAGCTGTAAAGGGTTCTGGTCTCCACATGTTCAGGAACCAGTCCCTGCGTTCGAAGGACATGCAGACAGAGTCGTTCTCGGGGTGGACCCAAGTGCTGGTGAACTTCCGTGTTACCCTCTTTATGACAAAACAGAGTTGACTTAATGTGCCATAATTGAAGTAAACTGTCCCACTAAATTCATGTGATGATAATGTCTTACCAAACTGGGCCAATGTGTACTCTTTTCCGTTGAAAGTAAGTGATGTGCCATTATCTTCCGTCTTGGGTTTGGACAGGCCTTTTAGACGGGCCAGGTTCTCCAGGATTTGCGACGGCTTCAGCTGATCCCGCCACTGATTGATGCCAGACCTTAAAAGACAGAGCAAATTTATTATGTGTAATTTCTTTTCTTAAAACTAGTAGTTCAAATTATATACCTCCCCCCCCACTCCACTCTACAAAGGTAAAAGCCATTGGGCAGATGGTTTACTTACACGCAGTAGGTCTGAGGAAGGCCGCAGTAGGAGTTATATCGAGACAGGAAGCGGTTCTCTAGGTCGATCACTGTCTCGCCAACCTTCTCATCTCGAGTCAAGAGATCATAGTCATAAACCCCGATTCTCAGGTCCTTGTCTTGAGGCAAGAAGCAGGTCATCTCAAACATCCTGAACAGGAGAAAGGTTTGAAAACCGTCAACATGACATTAGGTGGACGACAGATGAAGAGACGCTCGAATATATTCTAAGACTCACCTTCCAAACACAGGGTTTATGTTGTTGGGCAAATAATTATCTCTGTCATCAAGTGTGTTCCTGCCCACTGATATTTTTATGTATGGATCGCACTAAGAAAATACAAAACAGGTTTAATCTGAGGAAACTGGCTAACCATGTGTGAAAATGAGTGAGTTTTATGGCTGCTTCATTCTCACCCTGCCATTGTTGTCTTTAGGCTGAAGGTCAATCGCCCGAACCACATAAATCCTGACCAGACACTCCTGAGGTCCGCTTTCCGGCAGCTCTCTGAACTGTCGGGGTGGAGGAGCAACACCTGGGTCATCTGATAGGGGGTACACCTTGAACGCACCCTGCAGGTACAAGGCAACACATGTAGAAAGGGTGAAATTATGGTAATTTCCACAGAAGTCACCACTCAGGTTAAAAGCTTCTGAATGGTGCCAGGCTACCTTGAACTCTCCGACCACGGTGGGGTCTTCGTCCCCATTTTCATTCTTGCCTCTCTGCAGCTTGAACGTGTTGCAAAAGTCAGTCAGCCCCTTGAATTCTGGGACAGTCTCCAACTCACAGTCATACACCTGGAAATTTGCACCAACATTTAAGACGACAGCGATCAGAAACATCTGTTTGTCACATATTGAGTCATTACACTCTGGAAGAAGTAAAGGTTTTCATACCTTAAGGGTATCGTAGCCTTTTCTTATGTAAGGACCACATTTCTGCTGGTCTCCAACTGAAGCGTAGAATTTACTCCACCAATCAACCGTTTCCTTTTCCTAAAAATGAAGTGGCATTGCATGATTACCTTGGAATTAAATACTAAACAAGAACTTGAAAGCTAAAGCTGTTTTGCTCTCACCTTTTCTGCCTGCTTTGGAGGAAGACCGGATCAGAAGAAAAAAAAAACAGTCAGTCATAATCATCATCATCAGAAAACACATTGAAGGTGGAGTGATGAAAGATTATTAGGGATCATTTCAGTGTTTATGATTGGTAGCAAGTCTGCTAAACAAGGGCATAACAAAGAGGAATGCAGATGCAACCTTGAGAGCAGATTATTGAAAGTGTAACAGCTTTGCTCAATCAAAGATTAAATCTACACTAGGAACAAACACCTCCACACTGTGTTTGTTAATGAAGGACAAAAAAATCATATGCTTTACAACCTATGGTTTTAAATGCATACAGTTAATTAAATGGCAGCGGTGGCTTAGTGGTTGGAGCTAGACTAGATGTTTGCTTCCTAAACTCGGAGGCTGCCTCTCTGGGTCCCTCAGCTCAACAATTAATCCCAGATTCCTAACTAAAGGCAAATGTTCCAACTGTGGGACCTTTTCTTCTTATTAAGTCAAACCTACTGAACCTACCAATTTTAAACCTGCATAAAATTAAAGAATTTATCATTTGTATTGAATTACCTGGGTCTCAAATGTTCTTACAAAAAAAAATCTTTATGAGTTAATTCATATTTTCCTAACTTCTACAAGCATACAGAACATACTGATAAACATTTTGATAAGCAATAAAAAAAACTTTGTATAATAACAGATTTGCTTAGAGACTTCAACAAGAATCAGTGAAACTAATAAACCTACACTGCAAAAAATTTGAATCTAAGTCCATTTTTCTTTATGACACCATCTAATAAGTGCCTTTTTTATTGAGCAGATAAGTTAGACACTTTGCTAATGGAACAAGACGATTTACATTTAAAATAAGAAAAAAAAACAACTGCAGTCACTTATTCTAAATTAATATCTAATTTAATCAATTTGACTGTGTGATCTAGTGAACTGTAAAGTGCCTTGAGATGACATGTGTCGTGAATTGGCGCCATATAAATAAACTGAATTGAATTAATTATCTTATTTTAAACCTTAAAATAAATTGGCAGATCTTCTAATTTTCTAACTCAAATTAAGGGTAAATTCACTTAAAGAAATTTGTACTCGTTTTCAGAATGTTTTTGCAGTGTGCTTAGTAAATAGAATCCATTTGATTTATTTAAATCAAAGTAAAACGAGCTATCCTCTTAGGGCCTCTGACCACAGAGCTCAATATCTCAACTCACAGAGAGGTGGCAGATGGAGCCGACTTTATTACACATAGTGGCAGGTCTACTCAAGGCAGTTTTTTTCAACATGTATGGGAAGCAACGGTATCTATTCAAAACTTTGATCCAGTACACATATTAAAAACAGGAACATTTGCTTTTCATTACACAAGACAAAAATAGAAACTTTTAAGCTTGTCTGCAAAATACTGTTAATAAAGAAGAACAGAAGAAGAAAGAAGTAACACTGCACATCACCCTGAACGCACCGTGCATACAAGGTTGGCGCTACATCTGGGATAAAGCTAAAAGAAAGCCTGATGGGCTGGGAAAGACTTGAGAATGAGATGGAGGTCTGCCTTCCAGTGGGAGAGGAACTCCACATACTGAAAGCTACAGACCTTAAACCATTCCAGCTTCTTTTAAAAACTGATATTCACAGACAACCTCCATCTGAGTTTCAGCTAAATAAAAAAAAAAGAACAAAAAAAGGGGTTAATTACAGCCAGTAGATATCTAGAGATACTGCTGAAAACAAGAACACTTATCATTCCACCTTCCCTTCACAATTAGGAAAGGATTTGTTGGTTTATGGCAAAAAAATCCTAAAAAAAATATATGAAAAGTTTTGGTTGCAAGACGACAAATTAAAAAAAGATAAAAGAATACAATTCTTTATTGACTGATAACATTTTTGTTAATGTGCTAATCTTAAATTGATGGTAATCGGTGGCAAAGTAGCCATTGATACAAGGTAAAGCATCTGGATACCTTTGCTTATTTCCATGTTATGCCCTTGCTGTGACCAAAGTTAACCAGTGTTCTCATTAAAGTTTCTCTAAATAAATGTGGTTAAATCATTATGACAGCCAGAGTGTAGAGTAAAGCCATTGTGCCATCATGAGGGATTTGTGTCATTGGTTTAGTGAATTAAAAAGCTACAACAAATAATCATACATACAAACTGGAAAGCTGGGGAAGCCATTTTGTTGAAAGCTGCAGACATACTGTACAAAAACTGCAAGCCAAAGCATTGCACAGTCAAAATTTGACATTTAGGAGCCAAATTTTGTTTCCAAGCAAACCCACTGGGACGGAGGTGTGGGGAAGACAAGGGGAGCTGACATTTACCTGAGCCTCCAACAGCGGCCGGGCCTCTTCCATGGTGATAGAAACATCTTTACGTGGCGCCGTCATCATCAGAGCCACTGTTAAAACAGAGTTGATCAAAATTGATCTCTTTATCTGCGATAATATGTAATTTTAGAGTAATGAACTTACTCTTGGAGGCCCTGGCTCCCTCTGAAACTATGACATATGGGTCACATCTGAACTGCTCCAGTGACGTGATGGTGCACTGACCAACCACAGGCTTCCTGCCAAACGGACGGTGGTCGATCACCTTCAGCACAATAGGAGGAGTGTACATCTCATCCTTTGGAAGAAGCTGAATGAAGAGTAGGGAACATATTGCCATACAGGATTAGAAAGAAGCTTATTTGATATCTAAGATTATAAAATGCTGAGATATTGAATTTATGATTACCAATTCTTACAACATATTTCAAGGCTTTAGTTTAAGAGCTTTAAGTCTCTCTACAGTTTTTTTAAGAATGTTTTCATCTTCCATCTGAAAATGAATGCATCGTTGTGTGGTATTAAGTGTGAGTCCTTTTGGCTACTCCCTTATTTAGGGGTTATGAGATGAAAGCCTTTCCTGACTAAACCGTTGTTAGGTTTATTCTTTATACATCATGTGCATTGATAGTTTGTTAGCCAGATTAGACAGAGTAGAAGGCCTTCCTTCACTTGGTGGATGTCACTGTGTGTACCGAGGTCATCTAATCAGGACAGCCTTCGTGTCTCTACAAATACACAGGATATGGGCACATCTTGGAGCCGGACTGATAAAGGACAGCTATCTGTAATCCTGGGGTAAAGAGGCAAGATGCATGAATTTCAAGGCATTGATGGCGTGTCAGTTTCTGATACGGACAGCAAAGCATACACCTGATGCAACACATAGGCTCATGAGGTATAAGAAGCAGGAGAGGACCTTGTTCAAGGCTCAACTTTGCCGGAAGCTCGCTGACGTTTTTTGAGCCCACAGCTGTGCAAACTCCAAGCAATTTCTCTGTCCTGTAACGACCTGACCTGGAATAAACGCTGTTACTTTTTTACTCCTGTTTTATAGTCCTTTTTTAAATGGTTTTACCCAGTTTGAGTTAAGAGTAGTAAATAACACCATAAAATACTAAATGAGTTCAAAAAAAAAATTGTGAATGCAGTTTCATTTAGACATCCAGCTAGTGGTCAGCTTTTTAAATAGGTTTCATTCATAAAACACTGGACACAAAAACAATATAGGAGAGGGACATTATGAGATAATGAAGATAAAAGTGTTTAGATGAGCCCTAAGATCTTTTTTGTTTATTTCAGTTTTTATTAAACATTTTAAGGAGAAAAAAGTGTGAAATTTAAATTTTTTTGCAAAAGAAAAAATGAGTCAATATTTTAAAATTTCTTTGCTTCCATCGCAGCTGAAAGTCACCATGTTTTACTGCTTGCAGGAAAACTAACGCTGCACACTATGCTGTTTGGCATCTACTTCATCAGAACACCTTTAACTTCTTCATTTTCATTCCCCTCTATGCGGCATGTTGTATTATTGCATCACATAAGAACCAATTAACGTAGATTGAAGTCTACAGTTTTACAGGGACAAAATGAAACTGATATTTTACTCGTTTTTAGAAATCTGCTGACAGCATCATTACCACTTTAATGAAGAGGACAGAGCCGGGGAAGTTGGGACTCTTTTTCATGTTCTTGATCACAGCAGACTCCACCCTTTGGCCCCCACACTCTACCACCAAACTGGGGGAAGACACTGCAGCAAGCTGGTACGTCTTCATGTTCCTTAGACCCCATGCCAGAATCTTAAACACAAAGAGGCACACAAAAGCAGAGGTGGTATAGAGAGATAAAGGTCTATACTAGTGCATCAGTGTGAGAGATTGTTCATTACCTCCACAGCGGTGAGCTGAACCACGGGTCGGATACCCTGAGGAACCATGTAGAGGTTCTCAGCTCTCTTTGGGGGAACCAGGGGGAGTTCCGACTCACCTGACTGCAAAGAGATACACGCTCACTTTTTTTGAACAATAATCAAAGTCCTTTTTACTTATGTGCTGCATGCAAGATCCTCACATTTTCTA